GGCTACCATGAACTTCTCTGGGGCTGTAAAATCATACTACAGAAAACTTCCCAGTAGCCCCATAAATTGATTTGGTTTACAGTGTGCTGAATCTTTTCAATGGTAGTATTCAATTAAGGAAGTATCTTCAAAGGGAAATACGGATGACCAAAAGCTGTCTTCATTTAGATGACAATTAAAAATCTATCCATTCAGCTTGGCAGATAGATCTGTGTTTTTGGGATGTCATATTGGAAAGACATCCCCAGGTAAGATATATCATTCCAGTATTATGCTTAGGAGGATGACCAATGTTTTGGTATGCAAAAATGGCAACTACTATTTCTGGGCATGCACAGTGTGCAATCTGAAGTGTCCAATAATTGGTTTCTAGAACTCTTGTGTAATCCTGCAGGGATTGTGTATATTATTTTTTAAAATTACCTTTTAATTAATTTTTCTATTTATTATTTGTGAGGATTAATGGTTAATCATTTAATGTTATTTAAGTCTTTGATAAACTACTCTGATAAGAATAATACTTTTGTAATAATTGAATGTTGAAAGCATTAATTATTTAAGGAATTTTAGGAGAAGTTATGTATAAGGAAACAAAGTTATTTCCTTATTCTAGGAAGCATTGCCCTCAATAATATCTTCAAGATACATGATCTCTTTTTGATTAGATAATCAGGTTAACATGTTGGCATATCATTTTTGCAATATAATTTAATTTTTTATCTTGTCGTGGCTGAATAGTTGCTGTACTAACGTTAACAACTTATTTTTTCATTATCATTATCTAGGATAGCCAAGGAAGTGACATATTCATTGGAGCTTGTCTTGATGGAATTTTTGTCAAGCATAAAAATGGTCGACCTCCTGTAATATTTAGGTGAGTTTTCCCCCCAAATAAGAGGAAAAGTGTGAAGTTTCATAATCATAACAATCTCTGGGTATTAGAGCTAAGTAAGTACGTGTTGCCTGTCCTAAAGCCATACAGGATATAAAGCTGTAGTCACACAACTAATGAGACCTGTACTGTGATTAATTGACATGCCATCAAGTCACATAAATAGATTTCCTCCATAATAATCTGTGCCTAAGCTGGTATTTCAGGTCTTTCAACAATGCACTCACCACCAGTGTAAGTGAGTCTATCCGCCTTGCTGCTGATCGTCCACTTCTCTTTCCCTCCACCTTTCCCAGCATTAGAGCCTTTCTCCAGAGAGCTAGTTCTTCACATAATGTGTCTGAAGTAGGGTAACCTGGATGTCAAGTAAGAACTCTGGGTTGATTTGTTTGTTGCCTTTGCTGTCCACTGTTTTCTTTGGGATCTTCTCCAACATTAAGATTCAAAAGCACCAAGACTCTTCCTATCCTGCTTCTTCAGAGTCTAATCTGTGCTATGAAATTCTTGTTTATCTTTCAGTAACCACTGTAAGGATTATTTAGTGTGCAATCTCTTAACCTTTGGTCATAGAAAGTGATTGCTTGTTTCCTCCTTCCAAGTTAGTAGATAGGGTTCCAAATTCAAGGGGTAAGTTTGACCTTAAATCGGTTGCCTTCAATGAGAAGCTCTTCCTGAAATCAGGGAATCCCTGCCTGAGAAAGTCTCAGGAAGAGCACAGAAGGAAGAAGGTTCCAAGCACTTCTAAATCTTGTCTGCTTTTTTCCTCCCACATTCCTATTTTGTCCACATCAATACCTAACTTAAAGGACTCACAAAGAGAGATTGGAGGACACAGCTGTGATACAATAAATTTACTAATACAAAAGTCTTTAGTAATAAATAAAATCAGTCACTGCAAACTCTAGGATTCAAATGGCATTTGCAGCAGCACCCTCCTGATTCAAATCGTACATCAGTTTTCCTATCCTTAGATTGTAATGAATCAGAGGCACTTATTTGCCAGTAGAAGTAGTAGTTGGCAGTGGAAACCATTGCTTCTGGTTTCAGGCTACTAACTTTGGATTTTGCCACCTCTAGTTGCTGACCAGGAAGAAATGGAAGAGTAGCAAATGATGATCCTTCTTCCCTGTTTGTAATTATGTATATAAGATCTTTGCCCCTGACCTGAGATGGTGTTAGTTCAGCTTTTGCAATCCCTTGGGTGGAGACTAAAACAAAAGCAAGCA